TGAATGCAATTAAAATTGGCTGTTTTCAGTAATTTTTCTGAAAACAAAAACAGGAAAATACCTAACTTTGAACATTAAACACTATCCCTACTTTGCGATTAGACAAATTGTTCGAATTTGCAAATAATCGTATGTTCAAAATAATAAAGAATACCTTCTGATGACGTCAAAAGGCGGCAAATTTTCTTAAATCTGTTACAAATCAATTTTTCTACAATATTCCATTTTTATCGGGAAAACAGCATGACAAATATTGAGAATGCAGCTCATTAAGCACTCTCAAATGCAGCAATACAATATTTTCGTGCATATTTTGCATTAATATAAGGGATTCCTGCCATTACTGCAGTGCTAAGGGAGAACGCCGTATGAACGTTCGAGAGTTACCAAAATTCCTTCGATAAAATGTTTATTTTTGAGAAAAATTATGAATATACCTATTTCTTTTAAATTTTCAGAAGTTTCAGATCAAATTACAAACAAAATTATCTGAGAAAATGATAGGCAAATATTCAAAAAATGTCCTGAAAATTAGTGATTTGCCAGGGGAAATTTGGCAACGCTTGAAGGCTCATACAGCGTTTTTCCTTATCATGGCAAATTTGGCCTACGTAGATTGACAGGTTATTCGTTGGCGAAAACCTCATTTTACGTGCCCCTGCCCGGGGACCAGGGACAGGGACAGGGACGAGATTGTTGCGGTGCAGTGGGCCTTGCACGTGTGTGGAGAGACAATGCGTGCTGCTGTTGCATGCGCCATGTAAATATGCACGAAAATCACAGGCACAGCCGCTCTCATCCCTCAAACCACCCCCGGATCACCCCCACCCCTCCTCTTCTACGCCACGGCAGTGCACCAACGCAGCCGGACGTACCCGAGTTGGCTCCCAAACGTCCGAATCGGCTCCCGTTTGAAAAAGGGTCCCCTCCCCTAAGGGTCGAGTTGGCTCCCGTTAGAAAAANATGCCACGCCACGCATACCCGCCCCTGTCATCACACGTGGGTAAAATTCACTACATTTTAAAATTAGGAGCTACAATTTTCGGCCCATTTGTGAAAGAACTTAGGTGCATTGGTGAGCTAATGATACTTATATGGTTTCTCAACTGAGTCAGAGATTAATGTTCCTACCTGCAAAGTTTATTTGGGCGTATTTCTATCAAACAGAACTAAGCGCCGTAGGGGGAGGAAGGGAGAGGGGGGGGGGCTTGGATTGGCGGGTGATGCGAAACGCGGTACTCGTTGCGTTCTATACGCGCTATGCTTTTCCTTTGCGCTTAGTTCCATTTGACAGAACGCCCAATCCGGGATTCTAAAATCCTCAAAAGGAACTCAATTTGGCGCTTCGTTCCGTTTAACAGAAATACGTCCAGTTCAAATTATCACCGTTCTAATAGTGTACCAAAAAACACGTATATTTTAAAAAAAAGATTTAATTACAGTTAATTTGAGAAACACATTTCTAGGAAATTATTAAAATACATTTGTATACCTATAATATTTGAGAATAGCATGGGCATTCTTAGTCTTGTAAAAAAAAATTTCGAATGCAATTTCAAAATTGCTTTTAACCTGTGTAGTTTTTACCATAAAAACTGCAAATATTTCCAGGTGTTTTTGAAAACCCCATTTTTAAAAACGCTTTTCAATTTTTTTTTTTAAAAAAAATTAAGATTTATTTATAAAGGTGGAGAAACGGTGCTGGGTCCACACCATTTCGTGGGGAAAACAAAGCCAAGAAGTTCCAAAAATTAAAATTAGAGTCAAAAATAATTTTAATTTTTGGAACTACCTGGCTTTGTTTTCCCCACGAAGTGGTGTGGACCCAGCACCATTTCTCCACCTTGTTACGTACAGGTTTCGGGCCACTTCTTGGTGTTTTTTTTCTTCATTTATGTATAAATAAATGTGTAATATATTGTCATTTAATGTCATTAATATCGTTCAGTTTAGAGTGAACCCATTGCGTAAAGGTCTCCAAAAATAAGAATGACTACTAAATTTAATCTATGAACCACGGAAAAAAATCGTGACGTGTCGAGCGCGTTCTTTGTTTCGATCGAAGTTTATCAACCTATTGAACTAAAAGCGCGCGCGATTCGTAAACAGCCTCACGGGAAAGTCAAAATCTATCACACTTTTTCGGTTGTCTCGCGTTCAAATTTCCGGACGAGATAAGCTGACATGATAGTCACATTCACCAAAAAATTGAAGAATTTTCATCAAACTTCTTACGTGAGCGGAAATTGATGAATGAGAGGAAAATCCTGACGATCAGAAGTTGATATGCTAGGCTTTTTCTTACATGAAGATCCCAACGGTATTGTTTAAATGAAACGCGCTCATGCTCAATAAATTTATTCTCAATGGATTTCGTATAATGCTAAAGTTCACGGAACTTTGCGCAAAAGTTAAGTTTCGCAAACCTATCTCTGTGTGGACAAGGCCTTCCATTCATAAGAAATGAACGAAAAAATTATGACAGAACAAATATAAATGTGGATTAATGATTTTAACTTCCGCCGCCGCGCCTCGCAGACCGCACTGTGTTTGACGCAGTGCGTGAAGTATTCACGCAGTCTTGTAGGCGCTATGCGTCTCACGCTGATCTCACTGTGTTTGCCGCAATGCGAGAGGTATTCATGCATTCTTGAAGGCGCTATCCGTTTCACGCTGTCTGCAATGACCACACTGTGTTTGATGCAATGCGTGAAGTATTCGTGAAGTCGTGTAGGCGCTAATGTGTGTTACATGCCGATCGCCTTGCCGAAGGCTTCTCCTTTTCATCTCAAGTCCTCATCATCATTTCTCTCTAGGTAAGTCGCGCCGTTCCAGGCCAAATTGCGTGTTTGGTTTCTCTCTTAACTCGACTACTTAAAGGTGCAGTCTCTTGTATCACTGAAAGACGACAAAATTAAAAATCACCATACTCTCAGGAGATGAGAGATTTTGTTGCCTGATCTCGTTTGTAATTTTTTTTTTAAATCCGAATTTTTTTTATACTTACATTTAAAAAAATTGCAAAATTTGCCGCCCCCTATAGATTTGCCGCCATGAGCCGCGGCCCATGTGGCCACCCCCTGAATCCGGCCCTGGAACGACAGAATTATTTGCGTTATCGACAAATAACACGTTCCTCGATGACAAAGTTCAAAAGATTCCGCTTCTTCTTCATATATTTTTAAGAGAAAGATTAAATGTAGGGCCTTTGACGCAATTTTTATTGATATAAGACTTTTCAGGAAGGTCTCATGCTCCTGAGAAAATAGGGAGGTGGGGGGGTATGGTGATGGTGATGGCGGTGGAGGTTAAAAAGGCAGAGAAGGAACACTGAGAAGGCTACAACCTCTCTGTCCTTGTTATCTAGGTTTTTCGGCTCGTCGCGCGTCGCTGTGATTACCAGGAACGTCAAAACGCCTTCATTTTTCAGTATATGCAACACGCACGTCCCCCGAACACGAATAGTTGTATTTTAACATGAAGCATCAAGTTGCGACCGTTAAGATATATTCAACCGAATGTGCGTTTTACTATTACTGTCCCTTTCTCTTTCCCCCTCTCTCTCTCCTCCTAGCTTTCTGTTTTTGTAAGTGAATAGCATTGAGTACTTGTTCTTGATGTGTTTATTATCATTTGGTAATGCAAATTAAAACGCGCGCGATGATTTTTTTGAGGGACACATAAAATATATCTTTGCGTAGGGAAAAATTCTCGGCAATGCCCAAGGAACACAACGACTAATTTGCCGAAAGAGAACCTTAAAACTACATCGTGCTTGTACATTTTCTGACAAAAAATAACTTAAAACAAGAAAAAGAGAAATATGTATGTAAATATCCTTTCTTCACGTGTTCTATTCTTCTGCTGACCTTAGTAAAAAATATGATATCAAATGCATTTGTGCACTATTGATATCACCCATTTCCCCCTCGATGAATTAAATGGAAAAGAAGTCGCTGAACTGATTTTCAAAACCCTTACATAGGCACACCATTAGGGTCCGTCAGTTCCCGAAGGAGAAAAACCCATTGATGAACGACTACACTGAGAAAAACTAGTTGTTATAATTTCTAAACGTGTGACATTCTAATAAAAGCTTCAATTAGATGACAGTCTTAACCAGAAAAGGTGATATTTTTACTAATAAATAATTATTTTACCTAAATCTTAAGGAATTATAATATTAATGATGAAAATACCATTATCACTGATTGAGGCTACCATTAATCGGACGTATTTAAATCAAAATAAATTACATTTATTGTGTCTTTAGCCGTGAGATCCATAAGTATATACATGACAGGGCTCATATCACAATGTATATAGATTCTTTTAATTTAAATACGTTCAATTACGAGCTACTCGTAAAGAACACCACTATTAGTACGCTTTATTGGAATAATTCGGACAATTTTACAATTAATCTCATACGAAATTAATCTAGTTATAATTTTAATTATTACTGTAATCATAGTAACAGAACTTAATTTTCTTAAAAGTCCCCAAAGGAACTAAATGAAAAAATGACTCGATATTAAAATTTAACAAGACGAAAAAATAAAAGATATTCAGATAGGAAACCCAAAACTAATGGAAAATACAAAGTGAGCAGAACAAGAAAAAACATAAGGAATTAGACCCAAAACACTAATAAGCAAAATAAAGAGGAAAAAAGCGATAAATAGAACTACGCTAACTTTTATTTATTATAAAGATAAAAATTGATAAATTCTTTAGCACTGTATCCCTAAAATTTTTTAGTGTATGAATACAATCTCCCGGTTTTTTCAAAATCTGGCAACATACTTGGCGACTGCGGAAGCTCATCTGCAGCGCATTTTCTCTCGCACTTTTCCGGAGTTTCCCACGTTCACAGCGGCCCAGCCGAAAGTACGAGCGCGCGTCAAAACAATCAAATTTCCTCATCAGATTCCGGATGAGTCTCAACACTTGGAAATCGTTGATATTTAAGGCCGTTGCTGTTCTCTGACCTCATTTCAAAGTGTGTCAGTGGACTCTTACAATGGGTCGCTTAATATCCGCAATTCTTCTGTGTTGTCTTGTCGCAGATGCTGTGTCTTTGCCCGGCTTGGGCCTTGTCCGCCCGGGTCTCAACGAAATCGAGATCTCCGTCCAACAGAAGCTCAAAAAATTCTTGCCGGATCCCGAAGCTAAAAACCGGGTCGCCAAGCAAACGCCACGGGAAAAACGATCCACCGATGATGTCATAGACATGCACGGTAAGTGAAATTTCAAGAGAGCCTCAATAATGGTTTTGTTACAAGTCAGACAGACAGATTAATGAATGAATATGTGTAATTAAAGCGGTCCAATAATCGCGAAGAGCGTGTCAAAAAAGTCGACCGCGTTTAGCAGAAAGAAACCAAACAGCATCGACTATTACCAAATTTAATTGGGCAGTTTAATTTTTTACAAGAGGACGTTTTTGCGAATTCCTTTGCAAATTTTAAGGAATATGCTTTTTACCATGCAGAAAATTCACTTAAATTTGCACGGAAATCCACACAACCGTTTTCATGTAAAAAATTAAACTGCCCGATTAAATTTAGCAATAGCTGATGTGACTTGGTTCCTTCCTGCTTAACACGGTCCAAGTTGTAAATACACCCCTGAAGGTACAATGGAGGTCTTGCACGCGGTAAGAATTTACCGGAATTTATTATTTATTCAGAAAAAGTTTGTGAGAAACACTATGGTGTGATTAGTTTTTTCCGATAGGAAATCCTAATAGCTCAAAAGGAGCTCTCAAAGTTGAGTCCGTAATGAAGGGGATTGGCTACCTCTACATCCATCCAGTCGAACTCTCCTTGCACAGATAGGGAGAAAATAAATTAGCAGTTTTACCACTTTCTATGATGACTTAAAGGCCAGAACCAAGGGAGCCCTGCTTATGTATTTACTCTCTAATTGTGCATGGGAGTATGCCTGGTTTTTTATGTAGAATCTCACGGTAAAATAAAAAATGTCTCCTATTGCGACCTAACTTTGAGAGCTTTTTTGAGCTTTGGAGTTTGTTTGAGAGGAAAAAAATAGCATAATCGTGGTTTTTTTTGTTTTTTCAAAATTCCAATAAGTGAAAGCTTCTAAAGCACTAATCCTCGTGTCAAACGAGAGCTTCATTCGCCAAGTGAAATAATCCGTGGACAACCAAAGTGCAAAACCACGTAAATCCGTTTGAGACGTCGCAGACTTCCTGCCATACTCTCCATTCTCTTCAGAAAACTAGTCAACATAAATTCTGAAAAACTTCCGTTACTTTTCTTTTAGTTTTAGCAGAATGTTGTGTACGGATTTCGAGCTATTAAGTCGACTTGTCTCTCTTCGAAAAAATAGAATAGGAGCGAACATTTTAAAACACCGCAATAGAGATACGTGAATCTGCATTTTGGTCATCGATTTTGGTTCTTTCATCTGAGAGACGACGCACAGTGGATCGAGTCAATTAGAGAGGTCGGACATGACTTTTTGACTAAAACTGCAAATTTTGATGTTCATTTTGTCACATTTTATATATTAAGGGGTGCCCTCTGAAGAAAATTTCACGAGAAAACCAATGGAACCACTTTTACAGGCGTAAAATTTTGTATAAATGGAGTTATAAGCGTTTAAAGTTTCCAAATTTTGTCCGACCTGTTTTATAGACTGGATCCACTGTGCAAAAGATTGCGGGCGTTTTTTGCCTCATGACCAGCGATCACACGCTGAATTTGGCAGCTGAATGTGGCAGTCAACAGTCAGCGCTCAACAGCTGAAATTTCACTAATTCGAGTTTATTTTTATTCAAATGTGTATCAAATCTATTCGAAACAATCAGAAAAATCCGACATTATTTGATGGTCGCTGAGAATCAATGCTGAATTTTGCGCGTTATTCGCAAAATTCAGGCATCGGGCCGATGACTTCCACATTCAAGCCAAATTCAGCTCCCACATTCAGCGTGTGATTGCGGCATCAACATATGGGCAAAACGCTCAAAATCCACAGGCAAAAACTGAAAATAATTATCAACCTCTGATTGCAGATGAGGTGCTCATCGATGAGGACGAAAGCCCGGCTGAGCGTTCGAAGCGAACGCTGGAGCTGGACCCAGCGCTGTTGGCGAAATCGCAAGGCCCGGACGAGATCATCGACCCATTCGACCTGGAGCAATACTTGCAGGCGCAGCCGGATCTGCACAAGGTGTTCAGCCCCTCGAACCCGGCGACGATCACCGTGACGGAGAAGGCGGCCCCACCGTGCGGTGCCGAGCACGAGCCAAAGGTCAAGCAGCCGATCCTGGTCATCCCGCGCCCGGTCATCGTCGAGCACTACGAGCAGCCCATCCTCCTCGTCCACCGCACCCTCCCCGTCGTCAACGATATCTATGATGAGCCTACCCTCGTCGAAAAGGAAATCCAACAGGTAAGTCACCGTCGTAGTTTCTGTAGGATCCTTCTTGGCCAGCACGAGACCCTCGCAAACCCAATGGGCGCCTTCTGACCATTGCGTCCTAAGATGGCCCCCTCATGGATCATCATTCATCATGGGATAGTTGGATTGCATTTTTCAAAAAGGAACCAAGAGCATTCCAGTGTTGCTAGGATTGTGCAACTTACATTATTTGCATAAACTTACTGAAATCATGGAAAAAATTAGATTTTTAAAGGTGGTTTTCGTCTTGAATTCATGGTTTATCGGAAGTAAAGGTAAAACTTGTTAAGATGATCAGTTTATATTTGCAAGGTAAAAAAAGTTGCCCAATCTTTGCAACATTGGAATGCTCTCGGTTCCTTTTTGCAAAATGCAATCCAGTTGTGCTATCCGTAAAAGTGTGTTTTCTCTTGTGCTGGTCAGATTATAGATGAGCCAAAAATACTAAGATCTGTCCTAATTCCAAGTTTCTACAAGCAATATTAACGCAGATTTCGCCCTTCATGTGAGGCGTCTAGAACCAAAAGCGGCAATCTACACTGTCTTGTCTAAAAATTGTGCAATCATATCTACCTGTGAGGAACAACCAGAACGTCTAGCTGTTCGTAAATTGTTACCACATTTTTTCGCTCAATAATAGGAAACTCACGAGTAGTCACGAGGAAACATGAACACGGAGACTTTCTCGTTCTTTCAATATTAAAATTATAATGATCCCATAACTTTTAGACAGGGCTATACGGAGATTGCCTCTTTTGGTTCTAGACGCCTCATATGACGTATAGCATGACGTCATCTTCCGCGGTGGTGCACACCCCGATCTAGGTTTCTTCCACCTTGGTTTCATCCGTGTTTAAAGTGGAGCAACCTATGCAAGATGTGTTCATCGCTAATCGATAAAAACCAGATGGAATATTACCGTGCTAAGGAAAAACGCCGTATGAGCCTTCATGCGTTGCCGAATTTCCTTTAACAAATCACTAATTTTCAAGAAAATTTGTGAATATTTTTTCCCCAATTTCTCAGGTAATTTTGCTAGTAATTTTATCCAAGAAGTCTGAGAATTTCAAGGAAAAATCTCGACATTTCTTCAAAAATAAACATTCTATCGGAGTAAAGACGGCAACTCTCGATCGAGTGGATCTGACGCCGCCTTTTTCGACGAGGACTAGCTACCTCCGTTAATATCTGACCTAAAAGCTTGGTGGTTGAGCAGATCCTATCCCTTTTCGCCAATCACTATCACAACAAAGTCCTGTGACTAACACAAGGAACACAACGCGATACAAAGATAAATTGCAACTTATTCAAATTTTATTGCGATACATGTCTACAAGAAGAGCTCCTTCAATTTGTACATAGACAACATGCACATCACGCCAATGCAGTAGCAATTACTGCACTTTGTGATGGCAATATTTGAATGTTATCATTTTTTTTAAATCTTTTCAGGTGGTAGTTGAGCAAGTCCCCGCAGCAGATGCGCACCTCGTGGCCAAGAGGAGTATTCTCTACCCCTACTCTGACGTCACAGTTCAAAGCTGTGGGTGTCCCACCTGTCGACGCAACTCAGAGCCAGCTTTCTACCCTTACGACGAACCCCTTCCGTGTGACTGTGGTTGCCCAAACTGCCAAGGTAGCAACCCTTACGAGGTGACTGACTGTGGGTGTGGTTGTCCTAATTGCGCAGGTAACAACCCTTATACTACATAATCAATGTATCTTAGTATGAAAAAGTCCAAGGGAATCGTTTTAAAGTTTAAAAACTCTACACGCATAAAAGAGCGAATTATCACTCGCCGCTGTGGTTGCCGAAATTCAGATGGCTTCCTCCAGAAAGCACCATGTCTAAGTTCGCAATGTCCTTCTTTCAGGGAAGCTTTGTTAAAAGCATACTTGTAAGTTCACTTACCTCCTCCTATACGCTTAGCACACCTACCTGAACGAATAATATTGGTTCGAGTTTTCCGGAGAGGCTCATCTGAATTTTGATTACAACTATGGGCGAGTAGCAATGAACTCTTTTTCTTGTATTTTTTCGGACTCCGGTATCATCTCGACAGGTTGAACATTTCAAAATTAGTACGAGTTGACGGCTAACGTGCGAAGCCACGTATCTCCATTGAAATGTTTCAAAATCTCTGCTGTTATTTTATCTCTTTGAAGACACACGAGTCAGCTATATGCCTTAAAATTTCTACAGAATATTCTGCGAAAAATGAGGGAAGTTTTCATGATATAACGTTGACTAGTTTTCCAGAGAAAAAATAAGGTATGACCGGAAGTTTGCAATGTTGCAAACGGAGATACGTGGTTTTGCCCTTTGGCCATCGATATGCTTATTCGCATGTATTTATTAGCAAACGCATGATTGTTACACTGTCGTGCTAAGGAAGAACGCCGTACAAACATTCAATAGCAGCCACATTTCCTTCGATACAATTTTTATTTTTGGGGAAATTTATGAATTTTTTACCTTAAAATTTTCAAGAACTATAGGTGAAATTGCGTACAAAATTATCTGAAAAATTGAAAGAAAAATATTCATAATTTTACCAGGAAATTCGTGTTTTATCAGAGGAAATTTAGCAACGCCTAATGGTTCATACGGCGTTTTCCCTTGGCACGGCAGTACAGCCCTAGTAGAAATTGGCAGTAGAATCTGTGCTCCAAAATGCCATAGACCTACAGCCGGCTGTAAGATTTCCAATAGCTTCTATAGCCGGCTACACAATTTCTTATATCCTTTTACAGCCGACGGCGACGAAGCAACAGCCAGGCGATAAAGTGTATACTGAAACCTAAATATGGATGCTAGGACTTAGTGAGGTTTTGGAATACTGCTCTCTTTTTGGGCCGTAGTATCTTGATTTATTTTGCGAGGAAAGCTCCATACTTTTGATGGATGCCTGTCATTACTAATATATTAGAGCTCCTTCAGTTTCATATGATACTGTGCAATACCTCAGGTGTGAAACAGTTGCTTCAAGCGCCGTGGTTTTTGCCTATCTTATACTTGATTAAAAGGAAGTGACACGTCAATTTCCTCGACCGGATTTTTTTCCCAAAAAACGTTTTTGAGGGTTTTTGTAGTTTACTAGTATACTAGTGCTAATGCGTTTAAATGGTGCACCAGCTCATCGATGTGTAGGCTTTTTTTTGGGGGGGGGNGATGTGTAGGCTTTTTGGGGGGGTCCATTTTTAAAATAAGTGAAGCTGTGAAAACTGTATTTTATGCTTTTAACGTAATGCGCAGCTAGTTTCGATCGTTTGTCTACAAGAAAATTTCTTAGCGGTAGAGTAATTCTTATCGGAATTGATCGTTAAACTCAAATGAAGCCTAAAAAAAACGCGCCTGATGAGCTCAACGGTGAGCTCATTTTCGGGAAACAAAAATACGCGTTTACGGTTTCCTTGGTAACCTTTGTTTGCTATCAGCTGATGTTTTATTTCCATTTCCCAGCCAAGTCGACGGAGTTTATACGTCCTTTCTTCATTAAATACATTTACTAACACCTGAGCGCTTTTCTAATACGACAGTATTAGAACTTTCCCGCTCGTGGTATTTTGAAACGCAGGTCTTATCGCCAATTTTTACCAGGGAGCTGTTCCGCATGTTTGTTTTCCTAATACCAAATTTCCACATCCAAAATAAAACAAAACATTTGGTATGCCATCAGGAAATCCGGAAACTTCTTCTCCGTGCGCCTCCCAAGTGGACTGCGGGTGTGGTTGTCCCAACTGCCAAGGTGGCAGCCCCTCGTCCTACTCACCCTACGAAAGCACAAGCGACTGCGGATGTGGCTGCCCCAACTGCGGCGGCGACGAGTCCCTGAACCCGGTATACTCCCAGTCCCTGAACCCGGTATTCAGGCAGTCCCTGAACCCGGTATTCAGCCGCTACGAGTACAGCCCCGAAGAATACTCTCTCCCTTGGAAGCGCGACACCCCTGACGAACCGGAGTTCCTGACCGTGGTCGACCCCGCCAACTTGAACCTGGAGGTGGGGCAGCCCCCGTTGGGCCTCAACGAGGAGATGGATGTGTTTCGTTGTCCTCGAGACGGTGGTGCATACTCTGGTGACAACGTTCTTCTCGGTGATCTACACGATTACGCATCTTTTTACCCTGGGTTCATGAGCACCGTCCTCCCGGCAACGACCTCCAAGTTCCAGTACTTCGAGACCGGCCGCACCACCTCCGACTTCGGGGTCCCGCTTACCACGCCCACCGTCGGCTGGTCCTCAAGGTCAGTCACCTCAAAAATTCAACCCTACGTCATTTTTTGCAACGAAGAGCAACACTCCCGTCCAAATTAAAAATGCCGTATGTCCATTTGACACGTTTTCAATTTTATTCCTGGCAAAATAATGCTGTTTTACGGAGAATCTAACAAATATTCATCCCTCATTTTTCCGACACAACTCTGGCACACCATTCGTTGTTCCACTCACGAAAGAACGTAATTACATTCCACTGTTGCCAAATCTTCCCTCGCAAATTGCACTTTTACCAAGAGAATTTTGGAAATTTCTGAATGGAATTTCCACTGAATTTTCTTCGGATCTCACGCAGAAATCAGAGAAGTTTCGGACGAAAATTTTACAGGTATATTCTTGTAAAAAAATTGAATTGTTCGAGACAATTTGGCAACCTTGGAATGGAGTTACGTTCCTTCGTGCGGGAAACGACGCATTAGGAACTCAAAATGAACAAATGAAGCCGTGTGGCAATTGAATTTTCTTTTAATTGAGCGGTACGTGCTGGAAAAAAGGAAAACACTTTGAATGGAGTTACGGAGTTTTTGCTGTAGACGGCAGTATAATTTCGGACTCATTTGTAAAAGCACCTATCTGCATAGAGAAACTAATGGCACTTACCTTGTTTTTCAAATGCACCAAAAATTGTAGTTCCTTATTGCAAAATTTGGTCCAATTTATTCCTGTGGCAGTCATAGACAATATATATTCAGCCGTCATTTTGCCTGGAGGAATTAAAATCTCTGACCCATCCGTAAAAGCACCTTTCTGCATTGAGAAACTAATGCTGCATACGTTGTTTTTATAATGAGCCGAAAATTGTCGTTACGAATTGGAACATGTCCAAGTTATTTCTGTGGCACCCATAGACACAACATATTTGGACTACATTTTGCGATTAGGAAGTACAATTTTTGGCTCAATTTAGAAACAACGTATGTGCCATTAGTTTTTCTATGCACATGAAAGCTGTCACACATGAGCCAGAAATTTTAGTTCCGAATTGCAAAATGAAGTCCATTTTAGAGAGCCAGGCCTGCTCTGCCTTGCTAAGGAAGAACGCCGCATAAACCCTCAGACGTTGCCAAATATCATTCGTTGGAATATGAACTTTTAGAAAAATCTGTGAATAATTTTCCTCGAAATTTTCAGAAATGTTTTTTTCGCAATTGGATGTAAGTACATTACCTGAACATTTCAATGGATAATATTTATAACTGCCCTCAAAAATAAATGTTTATCGAAGGAAGTTTAACAACTTTCGAATGTCCATACGGCGTTTTTCCTAAGCACGGAAGTGCTGTATGAGGGAAGGTATTCAATGCACACATCCATGGAGCCCGATTAGTCGCATCAAGGCGCTGTCATCAATTGGCATCGGATTGAAATTCACGGTATCTGACGTATGTGCATTAGATACGGGTTGCATATTCGACCTTTGCAAATTTTCAGGTTGTTGATCAGATTACTTCAGAATTAAACGAGTAGTTTCGAAGTATGCCTCAATTGAATAAAATAAATAATTATGTAAGTTAGATAACATGGAGTAAAAAATTTAAAAATAATTTTTACAAGTGATCGTGCCAATAGAGAATTTGCAGGTATCTGAAATTTGATTCATTTCGTGTTTAAGTGAAAACTACTGAGTGAACTGAATACGACCTTCGGTTCATGAATTGAACAATTATTGGAGAAGATATGACAAAAGATCTAATCTGCCAAAATACATGTGTTTAAATGGATAATACCGTCAGATGACTTCACTAAGCGGTGCTTTTTCACTTTTAAACCTATTTTCATACTATTTCCCATACCAGAAAAAGTATAAAAAATACTGTGAAATCAGGTCTTCAAGCACTTTTAGATGAAGCAATAAAAAAAAATTTAAGCAAATTCTCCATTAAGTGGAAGGACCATACAATTTATGTGGAATCCTCAGACACTAATGAGATTTCACATTTCATTTCAGTTTGAGGCCATCGTCATCTTGGCCAGCCCCGCCCCACGTTCCCCGCCCATCTCCAAAATTCGTGAAGGAAAAAATTGAGAAGATGCCGTTGGTCTCAGGCGAACCCTGCCTTCCCCAAGAAGACCCTTCGATCGAAGATCTACGGGAGTACGCAACCGATGGCTCCGAAATCGACGCCGAGCCTGAGAAACGGGCCCCAAAACCGAGAGGAAAAACACAAACAGCGCAGGTTGAATCGACGATTCCTATTTCCTCATCAGAACTTGCTTCCGATGACATGTCGAGGAGTTCAGAGGACTCGATGGTAAGTGCATCAGCGGAGGGAAGCGATGAGATTGCTCAGGAACTTGTCTGTGAAAACAGCATACCGACCATGATTCCTTCATCCCCTATTCTACCCTCCGTCCAATCTGCACCCCTCTTCACGCCGAGCTACCCGGGCTACTACCCGAGCATGGACTACCCCATCTACGAACCTGTGAGGAGCACCAGAATCATTTTCCAACCCTACGCCCAGAGGATAACTCACCCGCCAGTTTACTGGGGCCAGAGGACGCAGACCACAGTACCACAGGTACCTATGATAGTTTACTTACCCAAACTATAGACAAGAAAAACACTAAATAATGTGACTCGAACTCTATGCAACACGCTTATAAAATAGTGCTGAGTCCGCACTATTTTTCCGGGAAAGCAAGGCCAAAAAGTTCACAAATTTTAATTTGAGTCAAAAATTTGAGCGCTAAGCTACAAGTTCCTTAGATTAGATAACCTGGCCTCCACCCGGCTCAACCAAAGAGAATCTACTTTAGAGACCCGTCTTTAACAATTCACAAAAATCGACGTCGGAACTTTCGAATCACGTATCTCGGTTTACGACGTTGCAGACTTCCTACCAAGTTTTTTTTTTTTTTTTTTTTTTTTTTGGAAAACTACTTGAGGTTAATTCTGTAAAACTTCCATGTTTTTTCTTGGCTGTGCGAGGATCATTTTACGAAATATTCGAGGAGTGATGTTGATTTCTTCTGCTTCAAAAATAAATTAGGAGCGGAAGTTTTACAACGCCGCAAAGGAGGTGCGTGGTGAGAGTTTCACTCTCGGAATGTAGGTAATCGGGCGAGGCAAAATTCAAGTTCGGAGGTCATAACGTTACATTTCGCCTGATGAGCAACTTGTTGAGCAAAAAATCAAATAAAATTCGCCTACTGATGATTCATGAATGTTGAAGTGAGCACTTTGCCAGGCGAATTATTTAATTTGAAAGTTAGGTTGAAATTGTTGAAGTAATGATTTGGTCTGGTTTGGTCATCCAGTAAGTAGAGGATATTATTTCGTTTGATATTCTCTGCACGGTGTTTAATGCATCTGATATGTTACATTTTAAGGTCAATTTCCAAAACTCTGCCCCCTGCCACGCCGAACCTGAAGAGGAGATAGCTTCGAGTGAGAACCCGATAGATTCCATGCAACCACAAACAGATTCTGGCACTTTTGAAGGCGCGAAATCTTCATTGGTCGAGGATATCGTCCAGGAGGTTTTAAAGCAGAGCCCGATCGAAAGTTCCGAATCGGTGACTCAAGCGCCTGAGGTGAAACCCGTGGAACCCATGGATCCTGTGAAACCCGTGGAACCCATGGATCCTGTGAAACCCGTGGAAGAGGTTCCTGTCCCTGTAGAGTCAACGAAGCCGATGGACAGCAAGAAGGCGAGGAAGAATGGGAAAGGCAGGAAAATTGGGCATGATCTCTCGGGCGAAAAGATGGATTCGAAGGAAGCCCGTCTGCTCGAGAATGAAATTTTCAACTCGGATTCCACCGTCGAGCTGAGGAGAAAACGTCAGTCTAGACCGAAACACCAGCCGAAGGTCAGCAGAATCAGCGAGGTCTGAGTCAGCGTTCGTAAATGATGAGGTAAGAATTCAGATTCAAGAGTACCATTGACCCAGTAATTGATTTCTTACTTTTTTAACAAGAGCACGCGAGCTTAGCAGAGGTAGAGTCCCTTTATACTGAGAGTCAAGACAATTTGAATCCATTTCTGATTGGTTCCCGTATTTTAGGCCTCCACAGTAGTGTCACAAACGGGAATAAAGATTACATTTTCACCAATTGCAAAGATTATAATCTTGAATGGACCAGGGAATTGCGGGTTCGGCAAGGAACAAACGGAATGAGAGGAGGAACGGAGAGAGGCATTTGAGAATGGGCCGATCAAAGATTACGAAAAACGTTCAATTTCTGTAATCTTTATTCCCGTTTGTGACATCCATGAGCCGAATTGTCCTGACTCTCAGTATAAAGGGACTCTAAGCAGAGGTGACTCCTGTAAGTTGGCAATGCTCAATTTTTCCAAATACATCTAAAACAATGGATATTTATCGAAACAGGCCATTATTTTCAGTTGAACTTACTCGAAAAGTTTTGGGACGTCCCCTATTTTTCTCGTATGTTTTATTCTTTTAAACGGGAAATTAAGTAATCTAAAACTTAATATTTAGGTAGGTAGTTTAGTTTTCTGTCGTCTGTCAAAACAAAAAATCACCATTTTTCAGTAGACCAATGGAAAAAGTCAATTGCGGAGTAAAAAGTAATGTACTAATTATACGCAGCGTAGTGAAACGTTTGCCGCAATCTGATTGGTGCATCTTTTTTAGGTTTTTCCTCGGATAGGTCTTAAAGACCAGAGTGTGAAAAAATCTGATCGAGAAGACTTAGTATTATCGAAAAAAATTAACGATTCTCCCAGAAAGAAGTTCACTCTTGGATAAATATTAATCAAGATTTGTTTAAGACTTGGTTTCACATTTTCGGCATCTTTTGTCCAAAGATTTTCCCAGCGAGTGACTTTCGAGTCTTCGTGACCCGAGGATGTTCATTTCCTCATAGGTTGCCACAATTTTACAAATGAGCCCCGTCGGGTAACCCTATCTCGTGATCGATTTTTACATTAAAAATGACAAAAGATAAAATGGACTTTGTGTATAGGGAAACTAATGGAGCATGCGCTGTTTCTCAAACGAGCCAGAAATGGTAATGTAAAATGTGGCTCAAATGCGACTAAATCGCTTTTATTTTGTTTCAGGAAACGCTCTAAGATCATTCCTTCAACACGTATCTGATCCTGACCAATCTTTCGGATGGAAGTTAAATCTCTGGAGACCTGCCGGTTGTAAATTTCCGCCTTATTCTGATCAATTAGGCAACCTAGCGTAGTTGGATCCTCGAAAAATCTGTGCGGTTCAGACATGCGGTTCAACTGCTCACCAATGTTTGTTTGTAAATATGTATCTACGTTATTTATAAATTATTCTCATTTTTTACATCAACAATTAAAATTTTTTTTACCGTCTTAAATTTGTAAGTTCTCTCTCCTCTTCCTCTAAAAATTTGCGTGGAAATTTTTCGACCCCACACGATGAAACAGTGATTAACGCATGTACCGAGCAATGAGTTTGTAGAGAGAAACTGTACGCGTTGCGATGTTGCAAAGATGCGCAACTTCTCATAAATTACACGAAAGAAAAATTATAACGGTTTTAAGTTTTTTGTATACGTCAGTGGAAAGTACAGTCTAAAGAGAACACTTTAAACTTAGTATATTTCTGAGTCTCAAACTTTTAAAGTAAAATTTGATTTAAAAATAAATTGAATGTCAATATGTTGGGTTAGTAACCAATTGCCTCACTGCGACAAGTACTCTGAACTGTAAAGTTCTTCCTAGGAGACTTTTTTGGTCTGATACTTTTCTAAACACCTGTTGAGGAATGATGAAAATTCCAAGTTAGAAATTCTGTTTTTTTAATATCGCAACTTACCAAAAGCTAATTTTTGTAATTTGGCAATGCCACTTACTGTTCGATTTGACCCTTATCCCACACTTTTTTACCCCCTTCCTACAGGGCCGGATTTACCTACTTGCTGCCCATGGGCCGCCTGTATTTTGCCGTCCCCTTCTCATTCGTTTTGAAACATCAATAAAAACCAGCAAGTGAACGTGCCGGAGGGGGAGGAGTGCATAAGACGCGTTTACCTACTCATGTTGGATACATTTTTTTGCGAAAACCCTGTCAACACTACTAGCAAAATCTCACGGAACTTGACGCGAAAGTTATGTTCAGTAAACCTATCTCTTTGTGGACAAGATCCTCCATTTATAAGAAATGAACCAAAAAATTATGAAAGAACAAACATAAATGTTGTTCAATAATTTTAACTTCCACCGCTGCGCCGCGTCGCGCTAATCGCACTGTCTTTGGCGCAATGCGTGAAGTATTTCTGCAGCCTTGGAGGCGCTACGAGTTTCACGCCAACCGCTCCTGACCGGGTGACCGCACTGTGTTTAGCGCAATGGGTGAAGTATTCATGCAGTCTTGTAGGCGCTAATATATGTTACATGCTGACCGCCGCGCCGCGCCTAGGGCTTGTCCTTTTCATCTCAAGTCCTCGTCATCATTCCTCTCTGCGCTGAGCTCCAGGCCAAATTGCGTGTTTAGTTCCTCTCTCAACTCAACTAATGAAAGATGCTGTCTCTTGTATCACCGAAAAACGATAACATTAGAAATCACTATACTCTCAGGAAAAAGAGATTTTGTTTCCTTTTCTTATGGATAATTTTTTTTTCTGAATCCGATTTTTTTAAACCTACATTTAAAAAAATTGCAAAATTTGCCGCCCCCTAGATTTGCCGCTATGGGCCGCGGCCCAGGTGGCCACCCTCTTAATCCGGCCTTGCCTTCCAACCCACCCCTCTCCACCTTTCATACCTTTTCCATCCTTTAGAGATGCATCGAAACGCAGCCTCAAACCCTTTACGATTGCGTCACGTAAAACTCGAACGACCAATGGTATAACAAAGTAACGTTTCCAGGAGAAGTGGCAATCCTGGACTTTGCAAGTAACCTGACGATAAGTATCATCTCAATGAAATCAAACTCGTCCGATCAGAGATGGAACAGTGCTACAGGAGCTGGAACTCCATCTCCTCTCATTCCATGGTTGCCAGGTGCAATTTCAAGCCCCTCGCCCCCAATTCGGTAATTCTAAAACACAGGGTGTTCCAAGAACAAGCGCAAGTATTCCAGATCAATCAAGTTTTCTAGCCTCGCAAAATGTTTTTAAGACTCACTCATCCTTAGAACCACCCTTTCCACCTCTCTCTGGTTCGAGCAAATATACACTGAAAAAAGGATTGGTAGACTTTACCATTCCCTCACGCTGTACTTCACACAGCGTCAATTCAGAGTCAATTCTGCCAGAAAAAGGTGAACGTTACCATATACTAGCACAGGTAACCATTCCTCTGGCAGAATCGACTTTGAATTCACGCTTCGTTTCACACAGCGTGAAGGAATGATAAATTCTACCAATCTTTTTTTCAATGTACTTCCTCCATTGCAGCATCATTCAAGCATCAATTTACTCGAAATACGGAATCTGTGTTACGTTATACATACCTAGAGTGGTTCACTTTGGTAACACTGGAAAAACGGGAAGGTGCGGGCCTAGAATTGTTTCATTTGACCAAAGAATGATAAATACCTGTAAGTTTCAGCACTCTAGGATAATATTAAGACGAACCTAAACTAGATTGATTTTGGGGGGAATTACATTGGTTCAAATGGGGGAAAAGCAGGGAGACCGGCGAGAATTCCTTTTTGTAACTATTAAGTGCCTAGCGGTACGTACATGCGCCCAACTTATCTTTTCATCGAAATCAAGAAGGACGATTCTTTTTGAAAAAGGGGAGGGGTTGAGGCTGCGTAAAGGTTTATTACGCCTGCCCCCTCTTCGATTAACTAAAAAATTGATTCATCCTTTTCTGACATTAAAAATGAGCGTAGCATTTCTAATTTGATTATCCAATATCGTTGTCAATGTTACAACACCATGAATAAATAAAATACAATTTTATAGAAAAAAATATGTCTACCTAATAATCATGGCGAACACAGCGCATACTGCTTCCTTGCCTTACATGGCACACAGGATACCCTTTTTATGTAGTCAAAGGTAAAACTCGTTCTTTTTATAACCATCCGAATGATTTTCAGGACGTATTTCAGATGATAAATTGGCAACTTTATAAACGCCACCAGGTCTCGGAACTTCAAACTTCGCTCACTGTTCTCTCCGGTAACATGGAAGCATCTTTCGGACCGACCCCAATATAACTTTTGCCTCCGTGGACGCAAGTTCCTTCTCTCATATACGATTGCGGATTCTGAAATCTCGAGATCCTGAAATTCTGAAACACCCTGCATTGAGGATTAGAGCTCCAAGTTTGAGATTCGGCACGGATTGTTTCCAGTTATGCGCCTCAGGAGTGAAATTCATCCGCGCAAAACATGACCACAAACAACAGCGTATCGAGTGTCGGGCCAATGAGACATTCGGAGTGAACGGCGNGGGGGGGGGGGGGGGGGGGCGCAGATATCTTGCACCTCTCATTACTGTCACATGACCCAGTTCCGGAGCGTCTGACTTATCGTTGCTCCTCTGGTGTAAGGGCCTAACTCAATTATAGGATGAGTCTCATCTTTCGTATAAATCAATGCTTTCCACGGCTCAAGGGGAAGTTGAGTTACGCTCTTACGTGAGCAGAGCGACGTTGTCCGTCCCCAAAATGACGAGATCTCCGAGATTTGGAGTGATAGCCGACTCGGCCAATACCTTGCTGCCGCGTTGTGTCTTGTGAGAATCTTGAATAGATTATTAATCGCGTCGCTGATGACGCTATTTGCATAGGCGGTTCTAGACCTTCATGCTTGGGGGTGCCCAGAGGTAGAAAAACTTCGTAGACCGGCCCCGAAGGAAAACGGTCGCTCAGGGGAGGCCTAAGTTTCGGCCCTCAAGTTTCATCCCTTTCCTCTCCTCATTTCTCTTTTTCTCTCCTTCCTTTCTACTTAAATACCTCTAAATTCAATGTAGGACATTTTTAGCAAAACTTTCCATCAAAACTACAACCTTACCATAAAAAAACAGTAGAATCTTTGTAAAACACGGCTATCAATATTAATTTTTCAAGTCATATCAACCTCATGATTTACCAGAAGTCAACTTTCGACGAGATCCCCCTCCTCCCATCACCCCTTGCCCATATCATTGAATACTGAACACCTGCAGATTTCAAAAATTCATGAAATAAAAATATTGCCAATTTTTTGCGCTTCATAATACGAGTTTTTCTCGACGTTTTTACTTGCCCAAAAACCTCTTTCATGGTTCCGGTAACCGTACTTAATTTTTGCTTGGGGGTGCCCGGCACCCACTGGCACCCCCGTAGAACCGCCTATGGCTATTTGTTTTCAACCCATCACTATCGTACTAAAATATCAGTCACATAGCGATACAATGGCACAGCATTTCATCAATAAGATAGCGAAAAAGTGTCTCGTGTTTTTAAATGACATTAGAGTGGTCAGAGCCCCTTTACACCCAGAGTTATGCCACCTATTCATCGGTCCTGGATGTCACAGAGGTTTTGGGTCTAGTACGTACTCTCTAGCTCTTTACTTAATAGTGGGATATATATGGACTACATTTTGCAACGAGGAACAACAATTTTCGGCTCATTCGTAAAAATACATATGTCTATAGGGAGTCTAATAGTACATACGTTGTTTTTAGACTGAGCCAGAAATTGTAGTTCCTCGTTGCAAAATGCAGTCCATATGTACTTTATGGTTTTCCGTTGCGGTGGCAAGTTAAAAAAACGCTGAGTCTGCGAGTCAGTTACAAACTTTCGCTGAAGTGAAAAGAAGAGTTGCTTCATAAGGAAATGGTTCAAAAATAAGAATTCAGGCACTGGAAAAGTCTAAAATTCACTTCCAACTTCAAATTTTTTGCAAGACATTTGCGCCCCTCTATTTTCTCTGTTAGTATGTCAGGGCAAAGACGGATACAGATAGATTACCTAGGTTTCACGAGCACAACATTTTTGCGCAAATCGACCGAAAATGCAATTTTGGCGTCACATACCGTTTTAGAAACTTTGCATCACGAGTTTCCGAGGAGAGTGTTCCCAGATCTCACTTTGCGCAAAGGAACAATTTCTGGCGCTCTGTCTTTTTAAATTCTCGTAAAACTGCTCGTATCATGGGTGGAGCGCCGAAGCGGTGAGTGCCAAACTGAACTGCCAACTCAAAACGCCTTCACTCCCCTGCGTATGCAACACGGACGGCCCTGGAGCTCGAATAGTTGCATCAAGGTTATAACGATGCTCGTTTAATGTTTGTCACATGCGACACTATCTGATGGTACTCCACTTCTTTTTCTAACGACTTAACTTATTTCAAGCGTTGCTAAAGTAAATGTCTGATTTTCATCGTGAACACATTTTCAATATTTCTATTCGC